TAATCGTCCCTGAACGCACTTGGAGCCCCAGGGCACGTCCCTCAAGCGTTTGATGAGGTGACGTCAGGACTGCGCACTATGACAGATCAGTTACGCGGGTTCCCTTGATGTCCACCGAGACGAATGGAACGTCCGCCTGGCGTCCGCCCCCTCTTCCGCCCGAGTCCCAATGGGGTCGCCGCGCGTCGATTCGCATGCATGCGGAGGCGGGCTGCGCCGCTTCCGGAGCAGAGAGCTTGACCGTGGTTGTCGTGGCCTTGCGGCGCGCTCGGGTGCGAGCAGTATGTTCCATATCACGGGTGCGCGCCCCCTTCCATAGGATTGAGGCCATGGAGCACTGCCTTCCTTTATTGTCATGGGCTCAGCGAACCGCGCGTTATCTGACTACTCACGATTCGTTTCCTCTTTTTTTTGCGCTGTACAGGTGTAATGAAAAGAGGAAATCTCTTGTAATCTCTTGTGGTGAGATTCGACGCGGGTGACCGCTTCGGCGAGCTGCCGGAGCGAGCTGGCCTACTGCGAGGTTGCGCTGCGAGGTTGCGCTGCGAGGTTGCGCTGCGAGGTTGCGCTGCGAGGTTGCGTTGCGTTGCTCAGTTTCGTGCGGCTTGGGTCGGCGCCATTGGCGCCGTGCTTATGTGACCGCACGATTCAAAAAAGGCGTCTCCCTGGATACATCACGAGGTGTGTGCAAAATTCGGGGTGTACTGCCACGCCATGAAGCCCCCTGTATCACTCGGCGAGGTGCGGAGCTCGATCTGGACCTTCATGGCGGCGACCTTCCCTGACGCTGTCTTGAATGACAGGTAGTCTGAAGGGACCTAAAACCGCTTGTGCCATTGTGTTCAAGCAAAAAATCTCGTCCGAAAGGATGAGTAACCTAGTCGGAAACGACGATGGTTGGCTGGTTACAGCCAAAGGCCTCGAATCAATAGACCTTATTGGGTATTGAGGTTTGTTTTGCTGTGAAGCAAAATTAGGGCTCTAACCGAGTCCTATGGGTGTCGCCGAGGTGGGGACTTACCCCAGTCAGGTCACGGTTGCAATGCTAGCACGTGTCTACGGCTGTGCGCTTTGCATTCTGGGTTCGACTCCCGGCTGACTCGCTCCCACCAACGCCATGCTCACCATCTTGAGACCGCGTATCAATGCATCCCGAATACTTGGATATGTGCGGAGAAAACCATAATGTATTGCGGAAGCGTCTATTGGAATCGATGTTTCTTGAGAGGGCAGCACTCCGGGAATAAAGTCCGCCAAACCGACTGTTCGGTCCTTATCCACATTGAGATCTATTTTCACACCTGGGACCCAAAGTTGCAAAAACATTTGGGCATCAGTGAAGAAGTCCTTCCAGCTTACCTGTTCCGTCCGGCGGAATGATATGACAACGTCTTTATTGGCCGTATCGTGGAAGAGCCACACTGCTGTATCGGTCGCCAATGATTTGATGAATAGTGTACTAGGCAAGTCTTCTGTTAAGGTGGCTGTTCTCTGGATGTCCAAAGTGGTGTCGTCATCGTCGACAAGATTTCTAACGGCTCCTGCCAGCCTGCGCCAGTCTCCAGGGTCCGGTAGCTGTCCAGGTGAGAGCTTTGCCTTGAGAACTGATGAAATTGACAAATCTTCTGTAGTTGAAGTCAACTTTTGAAACGACGTTGCCTCTGCGTCTGCAAGCAATGATGACACCTCTTTCATTTTATCGCCTTCTGGACTATTCAGAAAAGGTATAAACGACAAACGCAGCGTGATTGACGCTGACCCCACAGATTTCGGATCAGTTTCCTCGGAGTCCTTCCCCACACTTTGAAACGGGAACGGAAGCCTCATCTCTTTGGGAAGTAAGGAAAAATGAAAGAAATCCCTGTCCTTCCCTTCATTCAAAACTTTCTGGAATTTCAGCGTGCACTCACCCTCATCCACGTACCTGCCGCTCTCCAGGCCCTGTCGCACAAAGTCAGCAAGCGAGAATACGGAAATGGCACTCAGTGGACTTCCCTCGACGTATGCCTTCTCATTTGGAAATACGTTTATGACCAACTCATCATCACTTGCACCCCCGATGGAACGGAACCGAGACGAAGGCGGGTCCCTCTGACACAGCATTGCGCAATGCTTCTTCTTGAAAAGGTCTAGCACCAGCACGCCGTTCATCTCAACCACCACGTACACCTCCTCCAATCCCTCCGACGCTACAACCTGCACCATTACAGCCCCCTTCGCCCTCTGCGCAAGAACCTCAGTGCTCGGATACACAAAGTCCGTGTACACCAGCTGCCGATCCAAGCCTGAAAGCTCAGACCCATCAACTGGAGCCGCGAAAGTCTCGCGATAAGACGACGAAGGCGGCTCCAAGTACGCGCGGAACGAGTATGCCGCAAGCGTGAGCGCGTGCACAGGATCATACGGGTGACGCGGGAGGTGGGTATCGTCTGGCGTGTCGACGGTATCGAACGGCTCAACGTTGAGCGCGTTGAGCGTGGCCAACATGGCGTTGGTGGACAGCTGCGACGCGACGTCCGAACCGCGCTGCAGCATGCCCTGCAGCGCAATGGTGGATAGGTTCGCCGAGGCCGACGACAGGTTGGAGGAGATCCAGGATACGGTTTGGTCCAGCACCTCCTCTTTGGTGGCCGTGGGCGACAGGTGAGACGAGAGCCACGAGACGAGCTGGTTTTCTACTTCGTCTGTTGTCGTGGCGGGGACAAGTTCCTCGCTGCGTGGTTCTGCGCCTTCTGCGAGGTCGGGGTCGTTAACCGGTGCGCTCGCAGGGATGTTGCCTGGGAGCAACTCGGCAATCCATGACAG